TTGAATTAAAATGGGAAACAAAATAGATTGCCCAGGATGCCAAGCAATCACATGGTACAACTTCTTGCGCTGCATGTTTAGCCCTCTGCACTTGTTGATGGTCAATTTCCCATGCTTGCAATCGCATGTAGTGATGCGTGTCCCTTTTTTTTATAATTCTCATTCAACTTGGTACTTGAATTTCTTCTTAGATTCATCTTGTGTCCTTTTTATTTACACCATCGGTCCTTCATCTTTCAATCTTACACTTTGATCCACATCAACCGTAATTGTCTAAAATTATGTCTCAAGCTTTGAAAGTTTACAATCAAATCCTTGGACTTTCCAAATGTAGAATTTGTGAATCTCTTCCAATTAGCCTTCAAATGCTTCACATGTGGAATTCAGTTAGCTCAATTGCTACAAATAGACTCCAATCAAACTCAAAATCACATTTATTCGCGTCAATTGCATCCAAGTCGGGGTTTTTTTTTTCCCTACAATTAACATAATTACAATAAATTAGTTAGATATCCATTCCATTAGCAATAATTTGTCACGTATAAAAGCATATATAAGAGTATCTCCAAGAAACTCTTTAAATACAAAATGCTATTTATTTTAGAGAGTTGATGCTTAAAAATGAGCCCAAAAATACTTTCTATTTTAACTTTTAAAAATAGAGTGAGTTTGGTTTTTCAAATTTAGATAGTCATACTCACTCTCTACTCTTAATTACAATGATTGCATTTAGTAAATCACAAATTTCAATACTCTACTTCTCAAACCATATAAACCACAATTAAATTGATTGGTCAATTCACATATACAAAATTATGTTAAATAAAATATGAAGAAAAATCAATAAATGTTTCTTGAGAAAAACAAAATTAAGAGCTAAAATAGAGAGCTTGTTGAAGTGTACAAAAAATTTGACTCTTTAAGTTTAAGGATATTCTCTAAATACATAAGATGCTCTAAGCATGTAAAATATACTTATTAGAAGCTAACTATCGATCATCATTGATAGAAGCTCGACCTAACACTTGAAATATCAATATTTAGATTCAATGAGCAAAGCACATCATATGAATGATTGTAAACACTATTTATGTCCCGAGGTAAAAGTGTCTAGCATACATAACAATAAAGTTAAGAATAATCTACCTAGCTTTTAATAGACTTATATGAACATTCATTCCTAGAATACTTTTGTTATACAAGTATTCTTGACAAGTCTACTAATATTAAGTATCAATGATCGCGTCATTTGCGAAGTGGTTTGCCAGCTATTTAAGATACTCATGAAATAAAGTAGGACATTGGATACATGTCTTAATCACGTATTGGTTTATTAACACTGTTAAAAGATTTTTCAAATTTGTGCGAGTGTTTTCGGTTAGTCATATAGGGTCGTTGGCCTAAAATTGATTATTCTTTATGAGACATTTTTCATCATTTTTGAAAACGATGGAGAATTGTTGGATAGTTTGTTCTAAAATGTTATTTAGATATTGTACGATCAAAGAATATTCTCTAGTCAAGGATGAAGACCATCATGAAGGTTCTAACAATGGAGGTGGCGAGGGTCGATATAGCTGGCTAAGTTCGGCCAGCTTGCGAAGAACAGGCCTTTTCAGTACCCTTTTTAGTCCTAATTAAGTTTAGAATTATTCTACTCTACCAGATTTTGGTTCACAGATTTTGTACAGACTATCTCACATGAGGTGGGTCCCGAGGACCTAACTCATTAGAAAAACCCCCCAAAAATGTTAAAACACCCACCCACCCTATCTCACATGGCTGTGCCAGGTCTTTTACAGACCTGGCACAGCAGCACAACTCTATAAATAANTGGCTGTGCCAGGTCTTTTACAGACTTGGCACAGGCACAGCAGCACAACTCTTAAGTTTATATAATTCACAGTTGAAGTGCTTTGACTCTAGTGAAGGTATGTAACGGTCTTGGAATGTGATATCATTACAATCTACAAATAGATTGTTTTGTTTCCTAAGGAACTCTTGTAATATTCTTCATTTTTAACTTTAGTGAAAGAAGAGCCTCGATCTAGGGGTGTCAATCCGGATGGGTCGGGGCCGGGTTGCCCGCCAACATATGAGCTCGGTAACGGCCCGGGTGAAAAAAAGTCCATCCGCTACGGGTTTCGGACAGGTTCCGAGTTGACCCACAAATTGTGGACTACAACCCAATCCCGCCCACTGACCCATCCGGGTCGAGCCCATACGGGTCACGGGTGGCGGGTTGTTCCAAGAATTTTTTATATTGATAACAATTTTTTTTTTTTTGTTAAATGTAAACTAAGAATTGACAAAATGATAAATTCATATTTATACCAAAAAATGTTTACATGGAATTCAAATTTAATAATTGAAATTTAACAACTAAATGCATTTCTAATCACGTGAAGGTATATATTTATAACAAAGTACATCCCAACAAGGTTGTCCCCTACTTTTACTATAATTTATAATTGAAGTACATTCCAACTAGCTTGTCACCTACTTAAGTCTTAACTATTAACTGTAATTTAGTTGTTGAAAAATTATATATTTGTTTCTCAATCAATCTTCATGAACTGTAAGATTTTTGAAGTCTTCAGCAACATCATCATTAATTT